ATGTTCGATGTTGAGTGTATGACGTCACAGACTCCAAAAAATAATCGTAAAAATATCATACTTTCGTCCTGAATATCGAGAAAACACTTTATACAGTGATTACTCGACCTTCAAAGAGTATTCTTAGGAAGTTTCAGCTGAATCCAAGTTTGAGCGATTTTCGTCGTAGTAGCACTTTAATTCTCACCTTCTTAGAATCAAGATAACTCTCTGTTAACTGTGGCGCACCCTGATCAAACAATGCACAATGGAACGGTTAAAAACGTTTAATGGATTGCAGTGTGATATGAAGTACTGACAATGCTTACAATGCTGCAGTATCCCATTGACCTATGGACACCACTTACCTCAAGTAAAAACTCTAGAATCGCATTGTTACTGCTGAGTGAAAACAGATTACTGCTTTTGCTCCACAAACCAAATGCAGCCGTTCTCATCTTGCTGAAGTCCAGTGAAACTTCCTTGATGACAAAATCCACGTCAAATGGAGCAATTTGCTCTCGAAGAATAAGGAGATGTTTGATTAAAAATAGATATCCATTAATCGCATCCTAAAGGTAATATATAAATATATATAAAACAGCATTAGTATTCATGATAAAGAACTATTCCCTTTTTAGCGTTTTCTGGAGATCATGTCTTTCTGTCTGTTCATGCGAGATAAGCGTTTGGTCATGAGTGTATTGGTGAAGATTTTCCTGCAGGTTGCTCACCAAGCTTAAAATGTATTATATTCATATGTAAATAATGTCAGTAGAGGAGAAATATGCCAGAAAAACGTGCATTCAAAGTTCAGAAAATTTGGGAAAATTTCATATTATTGTGACCTTTTGCTGCTTGCATTCACATCATCCACAGACCATTCCAGGCTTTTTATGCAAAATACGACAAAACCTTCACCAACCATTAAAAAAAAAAGATTATACCAACCTTTCTCTTGGTGATCAATGCACTTGCCAATTTAAGAGACTGAATACACACAGACAATGCCTCTTGAGACAAACCCTCAAAGGTCTCTTTCTAAAAGTAACATGTACAATACTCATGGTCAGTCATAACGAATACCCAGTACAAGCAAACAGACAAACCCTCAAAGGTCTCTTTCTAAAAGTAACATG